TTAATGTTTAACTAACTTGCTTTCTAAGAAATAATCGAAAATGAATCAATAAATTATTATTATTCCACAATTGCATTTTTTATAAAATGAAATAAATAATCAAAAATAACAAGATTTTATATGCTCACCACACTGAAAGAAAATATAATTATAATTATATGAAAATGAATCAATAAATTATTATTATTCCACAAATGCATTTTTTATAAAATGAAATAAATAATCCAAAATAACAAGATTTTATATGCTCACCACACTGAAAGAAAATATAATTATAATTATATATTTGTTTTAAAAAAATTATAACACATATATTTTTGAAGTAATATTAAAGTTTTGGACTGATATGTAAATAAAATAAAGATTTACATAAAATCACTAAATTCCTATGTATTTAGAAGAAAATATAAGGTCAGAACTCCGAATGCATCCGGAGTACTATAGAGAAACGACACGTGTAAAATAGATCCATCACAATGTATTGTGATGGGTCTACTTTACTCATGAAGCCTACTTATTCAACTACAGATGATCCAAAGGCATGACCTAATATTTTCTCTGTATTTATATATCCAACACCTAAATTTTATTATTCTACCTAAGCTTTTTATGAAAAAGAAATATTTTAATTTTTAAAAGTTAAATGATAATATTTTTTGTGTTGATAAGAATGATTTGGGAGGTATAAATATAAAAAAATTGAAATTAGATTTACTTATAAGCATTGGTTTGTATCCTGGCATGTAAACATTAGATAAATAATATAATAATATCATTCGTTATTTATATAAATTCTGAAAATAAAAATAGCAGCTTTAACCGCATAAAAATAAAATAAAATAAAAGAGAAATGAAAATGAAAATGAAAAGTTTAATTTGGAAGGGAGGCAAAAAAAATACAAAATCCGAAACCCATCTTCTTTGTTTCCCTCGCCATCTGCTGCGAAGACGAAGCTCCCATTTATTAAAAATCCGATAAATGCGTTGAGAAGGAAGAAAGCGACAAAGAAGAGTGAAAGAAAAGCGAGGGGACGAGAGGAGGGGAAAGAAGAGAGCTATAGCGATTGGGAGAAGGGAGAATCGATGAACGACATTGCTGATCTGACATTCTTTTCATAAACTAGGGTTTCAGCGGCCGGGGGGCTTCTTTGATTTCTTTGTTTAGCTTCCTTTTTTGATTGGAATAGCTTATTTATGGCCCTTTGTCTGAGGGCGTGGTAGTGAGTTCACGTTGGATCGCTCGCGCCGGCTTGTTTAATTTGGAGCCGTCTTATTTGTGAGTTTTCGATTGATTTGTGCCCTAGATTTGCATAGTTCTGACGTGCTTTTACGGATCCCCGGTAATGCATTTAGTTTGAAAGGAAACGCTGAAATTGTGTGCGTTGCACTGATAGAGATATTGTCATATTGTGACAAACTATCGTATTTAATAAGATATTTTGGATCTCTGCGAAGTTTATTTCATATTGGAGACCATGGGTATCGCTGCGAGGCGGCATTTTTGCAGTAGAAAGGGGTCTCGGATGACACGTCTCGGTTTAAAGATGATAGTTTGAATCAGCAAGGGAGGATAGAGCAACAGACAACATGGGAAGCATTAGTCCAGACGATACTTTAGGTGAACTTAGCTTTCTATATTTATGGACTCCTGTTGGATTTGGGTTGCTTCTTATTTTCCTTTTCTTTCTGGATTCAGCCAAGAGGCGATCACTACTAGAGTGGCTAAATAATCTGTTTCCTGGCCTCGATATTCCCTTGGAAGCATCAGAAGAACAACTAAGGATGCTATTGTTTGATGGAACAGTTTTATGTGGAATTGTGAACCAACAAGATCCTACTTTCCTTGTGGTATGGTCTTTGGCATTCAAACTTATTTCAAACCTGAGATTTGTTTCAGGCCAAAAGTTAAAATCTTTATGAGAGGTTCCTGAAATTGCTGCAGAATCAGAAAGGTGCTTATATATCATCTGAGCAGTGTCGGGAGAAAGTCAGGAGATTCCTTTCGGTTATAGAGGCAATGGGTTTGCCCGTGTTTTCTACCGGTGATTTGGAACATGTAATAGCCTATCCCTTAAGTGAAAGAAATTGATACGCTAATTTTTTTAACCAACAATGGATCATGCTTACAACTTGATAACAATTCAAAGTTGTTTTTTTTTTTTTGCTTACTGAAAATGGCCGGGTTAACTTCATTTTTGTTGCAGGGATCCATTTCTGCCGTTGTTGACTGCCTTCTGACTCTTAGGGATCGATTAAGTTTGGAACGTAGTGAAGGGGACGATCACATGATTGCCAACTTTGGAAAACAAGCAAGAGAGAAGTGGATCAGAACAGAAACTTATGAGGATTCTATGTTTGCCTCACAAGGAAATCACATCCAAATGGGACAAAATTCTCATAAAACTGCGTCGGGTAAGGTTTAGTTATTTAATACTTAAACGGAAATCAATTAGATCAATAATTCGTAATTGAATGGATCTTTAGGATTAATATGGTTATCAATCGGCTAACAGACACATGCTAGCCAATTAAGTAATTGCTTCATACGCTAAGGACGGGCCAAGCCTTTGACTCATCTTCACAGGCCAATGTATCATTTTGATTGCGTTTCTTTTTCCTTTTTTATCTAAATACATATTCAGGTTTTAAATATTCATTTGGTTCCCGATTTTAAATTTTAATTTTGCTTTTAAAAAACAATTTTTTAGTTATTACGTCCATCGCTTACTTTAACACCCACACACTTCTCATTTTTAGCCACAAAATATTCTCTTGGCCTGTGTCTAAAGCCCGTTGTCTCCTTTTTGACATTTTTCTTTGTTATAAATATTTATAATACTTTAAACTAATTACATGTCCCATTATTCATTGGTAGTTGGAGAGATCATGTGTAAGCTATGATGGGTCCGTGAGGCTGGATCATTGTTGAATGGAAAGTTGTATTATCTTTGTTAGGTGGTTTTACGTGGCAATGGGTAAGATGGGAGAGATGGATAATTGGTCAAGCGATGGGATTCCAAAGTGAGGGCTTTGACTAGGCATAATTTTAAGCAAATGAGATGAATCACCAATGACTATGGAAATGGCTCATGCTTGTCTGCGAATGGTGGTGGATGGGTTCGGAGGCTTTAAGGTATCATGTTGCATGGGAGGCAAGGGGTTTCCTATGAGCAACTTCTAAAAATGACAGTGTTACACTGGGCTTGGAAGGAAGTTAAAAAATAAAAAAATTAAAGCATGGTTGTAATAATATTTGTTCACCAAATAAGACATCAGAGTATGTAAATCCAATAACATCAAATTAATTTATCCCAAATAAAAGGAATTCAATTATTATAATAAATCATAAAAATACTATTGCATGAACTAAATAACTTTGTACTCATTAGTGCATCGGTTTATAACTTCATGTGATATGTAGCAAAAGTTGAAAATCATAAATAAATAGATATAGTTTTATAAAAACAAACTCGGTGGTGAAACCCACTAAGGTATAAATGACAATCCACTGTACACAAGTACGACCAATTAAATAAGCATAAACAACAATATACATTATATCTACAATTTACAAAAGATAAGATTTTTAAATATGGTCAATTTGTTAATAGTGTTTACTATGCAGTAAAATTCATAAAAAAATATTTAAAATTAATGATCAATGCATTTGAATGCCAAACAATCACTTGCATTTTTTGTTTAAATTTTCGTAACTTTTTTATTCTCCATTAACAAAATACATTTATTTATTTTTATCCATTATTGATCTACTGCGATACTCGAACGGGAAATGTTGCACCAAACCATAAAAATATAATAATATTCAAAACAATTTTCTCAACGGGTTCTATTGATAATAAATACATTATGCAAGCAAGCATATATTTATAAATTTATATTATAATAAAATTTTTATAATGAAGGCTTTAGCCGAAAGGCAACACACCCCAACAATAAAGTATGAAGTGAAGGGATTGACCTCAACTATTAAAATAAATTTAATGAGCTAGATTCGATTAGAATCTGCTTTGAATTAAAAAAATTCATATATAAGTAATTATAAATGGTGAGAATAAGACTAAACAATTAAAGGCAAATAATAGTTCATTTCAATAACAGAGTCTTTGACATGTGTACATAAAAAATGTAGAATCAATGACAAATATAAAATTGGCTGAAACAAATAAGAATATAATCAAAACTACCGAATTCCAACACAAAAACAAATAAAACTATTTCATAAAGTTAAACAAATTCAAAAATTTTTGTGGGTGGAATATTGGCTTGTGCAGCGATAATCCACCAAGCAACTTTGTAATGAGTGACTTTGATGGCTCAAACGCTTCTAATCATTGGATGATTGATTTGCTCAACTTCTATGATTTGCTCAACTTCTATGATTTGCTCAGCTTCTACATTACAATGAAATGAACTTTGCAGAGTAGCTTGAGAGGAGCTACTGCAAAGGAATCAATTCAGAAACTAAATCAAAGGCATAGCTACTTGGTATATGTTAAATTCATATATAAGTAATTATAAATGGTGATAATAAGACTAAACAGTTAAAGACAAATAATAGTTAATTTCAATAACAGAGTCTTTGACATGTGTACATAAAAAATGTAGAATCAATGACAAATATAAAATTGGCTGAAACAAATAAGAATATAATCAAAACTACCGAATTCCAACACAAAAACAAATAAAACTATTTCATAAAGTTAAACAAATTCAAAAATTTTTGTGGGTGGAATATTGGCTTGTGCAGCGATAATCCACCAAGCAACTTTGTAATGAGTGACTTTGATGGCTCAAACACTTCTAATCATTGGATGATTGATCTGCTCAATTTCTATGATTTGCTTAGCTTCTACATTACAATGAAATGAACTTCGCAGAGTAGCTTGAGAGGAGCTATTGCCAAGGAATCAATTCAAAAACTAAATCAAAGGCATAGCTACTTGGTATATGT